GTTTCTTTGGCTTTTACTTGTTATGAATTATCCTGTCTGTTTATATATATGTAAGAACAATATATCTATTGTAAGTTTACATGTTTTTTTAATTGATTATCTAAAAATATAATGTTAGTAACTCAGAGTTAGGGAAGTTAGTACAATACAGTTTACCAATAAAGAAAAAACATTAGATATTGGCTCATAAAAGAATATTTCTTAAAGAAGATTGGGTTTTTCATCTTTCATATACTTCCAGTTGAAGCATAATTTTGTATATTTACATTTGTACTGTTATTTTTAAAATGTTGTCCACCATAACTCTTGACTAACACTAATTTCAGGACCACAGTGTCTTAGCTCTTCTGAAGATGATGTTACCAAGTTTCTTGCCTGCAGTACCCATACTGTGACCACCAATCAAGATTATTGGATGTAGCAGTACCCTAAAATTGTTTGTCAGTTTAAATTAACAATACCATATACCACACTATATGTAGGAAATTTAATTTCAGCATTTATTTTGTAAACATTATGAGACTTCTCTAAGTGTGTTATGTAATTTCTGAAATCTTGAAAAGGAAATAAAGTGGTTGAACTTAACTAACTGTGGACTTGTTAAGGAAACATATAAGATCAAAAAGTTACCTAGTTGGTAGGCCTAAGCATGCAATGTTTAACTTCTTATTCATCATTTTTTGTAACCATTACTATGTAAACAATTTTTAATTAGTACCAAAAATAAAACATTGTTTATTGTTTCCCTAAACACTACATCAGAAATCTATAGAACAGAATATTCAAGAAAATTAGAACCAGAAAAAATTGTGAACTTGTACTAAGACTATTCTTCCTCCTTTTCTTTTTCTGCTAAATCTGTAGTAAGTGTTCTTAGACTGTAAACTAAATCAGGTCGAACATATTTACTGTATATTCCTCCATGGATCTGTAAAGAAAGTAACAAAGATGTACACGTGTGAAATGTTAGAAAAACCTTGCTGACAGTAACATAAATTAAAGTTGCTATATAGTGAGTTAAAAAGGACTCAAAACCCCCATAGATATTATATACATATCACTATCATTAGAGGCCCAACTGTATTTCTTTGGTTTGCTGACCCAAGTTGTGCTGATGAGCTTTGAATAGGCGAAACTGCAGTATATATATAAAGACAACATTTCTGTTTGTTTGCACCCTAACTCCTCTGAGCCAATCTCAATCAAAATTTCAGGTAAACACTATGAACTATGGGGAATGTCTTAAGGGGGTCAAAATTGAAGTTAACCCTATTTCTATTTTGTAAAGCCTGTTGGTTAATTACTCCTACCCTATTGAGTCAATCTCAAACAATCTTGGCAGGTTGATGCTTTAGACAATGTTGAATATTCTAAAGGAATTCAAGATCAAAGTATGAAAGTTGCTGGGTTGTTTCTAAAAAACCATGCTTTTTCTCACGGTCAGTGAGATGTAAGGTGTTCAAGGGGTGGGATCACCTCAAAATATTTATTTGTTGGTAGATGGAAAGCAAAATGCAAATGTTGTTTATGAAGAAGCTTTATTATAATTTTGAGATAAAGTTTATGTTCAAGTTATTACTTTGAAATATAGGATTGCTGTTAAATGTATATTGTTTTAGTTAAGTTTAAACATTCCCTGTCAGTTGACTGGTATTTCAGCTATATATGTGTGTTAAAGATTCCTTTTCTTTTTCACCAGAGGTTAAATTGAAAAGAGAATCTGTGACATAGAGGCCTAACACATTCTTTGATTGGCCATATCCTCTGCTGTGGAAGTATGTTCCACTGTGAAAACTGGTCTTTTACCATCTCGGTTAAAAAAAAAGAAAATCACAAAAAACTAGAAATGTATCCTCGAGGTTCTGTAGGAGTTTAGAAAATTTTAGAGCCTTCTAAGAAATTTTAAAACATACTTTAAACATTACATTCACATTATTGTGTCTTAGACATTATCTAAGTGCAATTTTTTTATTCCACATTACATCAGGAAATGTGGTATAGTTAATGTTATTTTTTTAACTACTTGTACTTACTGTGGATGCTAAATCTTGGAGTAGATTTGAATGTCTTACAATCTCTGCATTTTCAGCTAGAAGTTTCCCATACTCACAGACCATATCTACTAACAGAGGATTGTACCTAGGACACCTGGTGAACTAAGATGTAGAAATATTTATTTGGTCCATTTGTAAGTTTATATATTCAGTTTGCTTATCAGATGACACATTAAGTTTAGAAAAAAGTAACTTGAAAACAGCATGATTGACGCAAGATTTTGCACAGCTTCTTGGAACTTGTGTTTGATTTTACAGTGTCTGTTACTTGGCTTATATGTGTGCCAACTAGCTTGTTTAAGAGAAGTGTAGAAAAAATGATTCAGAATTTAATAAAGCATTTAACTGATTTTAAAGACTTGAACATACAAGTTCATGTAATAAGATTAGTTAAATAACGTTTTCATGTGTTATGTTTTTTAGTTCAAACTTGTGAGACTTCACCAATTACAATTTATGCTTTAGATTATATACATATATAAATGTAGTGGAGGGTTTTTAGTATCAAGAAAATTTTGTTAAAGAAAACACTATTACATACACACACCTAAGGATAGAAAGTACAAGGAATACACTTTTCTTTTTTCCCAAGAATTACAAAAAGTATTTCTGTTGCCACTACTTGTATAAATTCATTATGTTTACTTTGAAATTGGTACATTTCAAAAGTGTGGATGTTTCTAGCTTATTTTGAGACTGGCTTTATGATCGTTCTGTTGTTCTTAAATGTAGTTTGTAAACTAATTTTTTTATTTTCAGTATTTTCTAAAATGTTTAGCTCTATTCATTTGGAAATTTCCATTTTCACTTCCAAACCTTCACGTGTCCGTAATACTTCTATGAAGTAAAGAGGTAATCCAGTATTTTACTATTTTGATGTCATTATCCAAGTATTGCATATTTTCTGGACTTATATTATCATTTTTATTATCTATCTATCTATATATATATATGTTTAATAAGTAAGATATCTTTTTATATTCTGTCTTCTAACAACTGTTACCAGACATAAACTTTCTGTATTTGCTATGCTGTTTCAAACTTACTATTACAAAATTTGCCTGTCAGTAGATAAATAAGAAAAACAGAATTTATAGAGCAACCAGATGATAAAAGTGAAACACCTGATATTTTATTCCTGACAGTATAATACTCCAAATTATTGTTTAGATAGCTGGAACAAAAGCAAAAATAAATTTTAATTTGATTTAGAAACAAGTGTTTTTTTTCTTTGTCACAAAGCCAGAGTAATATTAAGTATAGTTGTAATCTTATGACACTAAATGAAAGTGGATATCATATAGTTCAGGAAAAATAATACAATCTACCTCAAACATTCAGGAATCTTTACTGAACATCAGAAAATGTAAAATACCTATCATGAAAATTACAATTCAAATATTTTTCAGTGATATTGTTTGGCAATGGTATGAACTTAAACTGTTTTCTGGGATTTCGAGTGAAAGAATCCTTTAGATCAGGGGTGGCCAAACCCCGGCCCGTGATGTCTTTTTCTGCGGCCCGCCTAACATTTATAAAATTCACTGTATTATGGCCCATGCATGATACTTAGACAGCCCCTACAGCCTTTTCATTATTTTTAATTTGCACGAGGGATTTGTGCGTCATCATTTGATAATTTCACTTGACGTCACTGTTGTTCGCACGCTTTGGTCGTGCAGCTGTAATAGCGATCGCCTCGAGGCAATCGATTGATTTTCCCAGTGTTGCCTCGGGCCATAGAAATGAATAACTTTTCGTTCAATTGTGAAAGATTATCGAGTAGCGAGGAGGCGATAACTCATTCTTTCATTCCATCGGGCTTTGGCTAAGGCAATTTGATCCATTCTTTCATTGTCGTCTCGGCGACCTTTGCGACAGCGGTCTGACTGGAGGAACGATTAAAATTCAAACTGAGAGCAACAAGCTCGTCGTAAATGAGTCTATCTCGATAATCTGACAGAATTGGATGAACATAAGATTCCTTGACTGAATGTGGACTGATTTTGCTGATCGAAGTGTCAAATGAAAGGTCCCTTCATTCTCTATTCACTGATGTATTATCCAAACGTCTTTTCCACCAGAGATAACTTGATTGACAAAAAATGATGAAATTTTTGTTTTTGGTCTCTAGAGAACACCTAATGGCACAATATCAAAAGTAAAGTACATCATATAAAAGCCAAAAAAGTTTTCTATCTATTGATATAAGATTCTTTGTGACCACAGCCAAATGAGAGCTGTATCAGAGCATTGAAAAATACTAAGCTCAGGGTGGCCACTTTTTTTTCCAGCACTGTATTTTAAAGTTTAATGCGGCCCGGGTCGACTCTAGTAATCAAAATCTGGCCCGTGACACAAAAAAGGTTGGCTACCCCTGTGGTATACATAAAAATCTTGTTTTGAATCTGTACCTTAGTTACAAAAACCTATATTTTGTATTAATTACAGAACTCTGTAACCTACTGCAGCAAATATAATAAATTATTAGTAACCATATGTACAATACTTGCACTTCTAAAACAAATATATTTATAAATATTCAGCAGGTATGATTTGTTTGTCTTTCACAAAGTATTTTTGGATGTTTTCAATTTATTTCACTTCCAAGATCTTTTAAGCAATAGTGTTGTAATTTATAATTTTGATATTATAGTGTTTGTTTGTTAGAGGAAGCTTGTCATGACATAATGATAATGCAACCTCTATTTAGTGTATCTGTTATTCAATGATCGAGTTAGTAAGTTCAGTAGTCAGTGTGATTGATGTTAATCAGTTAGTGAGGAAATTTTGCAAGTAAATTAGGTGGTTTTGGAATTTCTGTTAAACGTTGTTTGTGAAGGAGTATACCAGTGAATGTTGCCTGTAGAAATACTTTTGAAGAAATAAATCATTAATTTGTTATTGTTATGTTGACAGAGCTTGGCATTGTTTTAACCAAATGATCCAAAAGAAACCACCCAACGATGGAGAACTTTATTACAATATGATATAAAAGATTAGACAGTCTGAGCCATTAAGATATTTACTTGAACATTGGAGTAAAGGTTACATTCTAGGATCTGACATGAAGACATAAAGATTCTGTTTGACTTATTAAAAGAAAAATAATAAAAAAAGGACTAGAAACAGAACAACAGAAAACAAGATAGACTAGAATATCATACTCTGTCATACTACTGCATTTTGAAAGAACATAAACACAACCTTATGTGACCAATAAAATACATTATACTATAATATTAAGGTAATTCATCTCCAAGTATAGCAGTGAAGCTTCCATTCATAGCCTGTGGCTTACAACATATAACACCATGCAAGAAATAACAGCACAACTTAAACAAAGCCTCTTCAAGATTGCTATATTTTTGTCATTAATTATTAAACATTACAGAAACTATGTCTTGAAGGAAATCACTAGCGAATACGTAAATACTACAGAAACTGAAAAATCCTGCAAAAGAGATTAATGATTATTCTTCATACTTACCATCAAAAAAAGTTGTATTATTCTTGAGTCAGTTTCCTGCAAGTTTTCTCTATTTAGTCGAACATTCAGAACAACCTTAGTCCAAGGCTGCAACAACAGATGTTGCTCTGTTTCAAATACCAGTAATTAAATTTATTGGAAGTAATGAGCAAAAGGAAAGACTGTTATAAAGAAAGAAGCAAGTTTGTGCTGCTATGGTAATAACATCATGTTTTCTTATCTCATACATATTCAAAGAATATACCTTACTCTATTAAAAAGTTATAAAACTAGGGATATACACCTTTGAAAAACAAATATGTAAGCCTTACCTAGTTTATATATTTTAAAAACCAGTAGTATATAAAAGTTAAGTATTAAGTGATAGTGGAGGACAATACAATCTAATATATTTTTTTTCTTTATGTCTGTTTTTTCAATCATTGTTCACCATGCATCTGAAAAATTGAAGGTGACATTAGGCACACAGTTTCAGGATTTTATCACCCATAAGTTTTTGTAATGATCTAACTTTAATGTTTACATACATGAATACGTTCTGAACTAAAAATCAGTTAAAATGCTATACCGTAAAACAAGTCTAAAAAAAACAATCATGGTCATCAGAATATTAATAAAATGTCAAGAGATCATCTCACCTAAAAATGTGTCTGTAGCATGAAGATAGGCAAACATGGAGGTTATACAGGATAAAGCTTCATCATCTAAAAGTGCATTCTTCTGTAGGTTAAAAGTTAACAGTAAGCTGTTACAAGCTTAAATAACATTTACATGTTATAAGCTACCACTAACCAAGTGACTGAGAAAAAAAGTACACCAAACTATCAAACTGTTGTTTTCATACCAGCATAAAATCTAGCATGGCCATATTGAAATTATTTTGCTCACACTTATTAGATGACTTTAATTTGACTCCTATATAATCATTAGTAGCTTCAAAGTAAATTAGGATATATGTGTACATACATGGACTCCCAAAGTAGTGAATGGCATATAAACAAGTTGGTTCTTGTAACAAGTTCTGACCAATATTTGCCATATAGTGCTAAAGAGAGAAAATGAAATAAAATTACATTTCAAAGCACAAAAATAGTTTGTAAACTTAGAGAAATGGCTTTACTTGCAGAGACAAAAAGTCATTTTTGGACACGTATAGCTGATAGCTATTACCTCATGTAAAGCCTTGAACCAAACTTCTACTTGTATACATATTAACAAGTAATGTTGTAGTCTATGATGCAATTAGCGTTAGAATATAGACCTACAACAATAGGAGGTGACACTAGGCACCATGAGAACCTTGTGATTCACAAAGGCTCATTCAAATATCAATGCTACTTAGCTTTAAATGTGTTTCATTTTTCATTACGAATTACAGAATTCTTGTACCCATTATTTTAAACTTTAGTTCCCATTTGAACTTATCTTTTTTACCTTTCTTTTCTTGATTTTGAGAAAGAAAAATACAACATTTTTGAGTATTTCAGTTAAATCTTCTACTTCAGATTATCATATTTTCTTAATTTAATTTCCTCTTTTAATGAAATTATGAGATTTTGAGACACATGTCCCAAAGACTGTGACACGATTTCTTTGAAAGCATCATTCCCTATCTTTATTATCCCAATGTTTGGATTTTGATAATTAATCTCACATTTTGTCATTGTAGTCTATGTACCATGGACCAGCTCAGATATGAATTCACATTTCAGAAACCTCCTGAGGTCCTGACACTTCACAACAGGAAACATTTTTACTGTTTAAGTGGTGACTGGAAGTATTTAACAGTCAGTGATGTTACTTCCACTGTGCATCAGGTGGTTGGTTTCATTCTAATCTCGGATCAAGGATTTCTGTCCTCCTGATTCTGTTCCTTCAGCTGAGTCTGCCTTGTCTTTTAACAATTTTGTCCTGTTGTTCCCATCCTTTGCTGCTTTGTTTGTACACAGGTATGTGACATTTTTTTTCTCTATCTCCAGTTGTTTTGTGCTAAGTCTTGGACTACCTTGCTGCTTGAGCTTTTTGTTTTGGCTTTGTACAAAACCCCAACTGCCTTATACTCTCAGACCCTGAGAATTTTATTTTGTGGCATATGGTCATGATTCTTCTTTTTTCCTTGCGCTTTAGTCTGAGATATAAATGCTATTTTAATTCAATTTTAATCACCAGGAAAGAGCAACATGTAGTTTATACCTAGCACTAAAAGTGCTCAATACGTTACACACCTAAAAGTGAGCAATACACTTAGCAATAATCTGCCTAATACGTGACACAAGTTTTTCTGACTAATCAATCAAATATACGAAATCTGATGATGTTGTTACTGTTTTCATAATCAAGATTTAGCTTCAGTCCCTTGAATCTTTTCTTCCAGTTTGAGGATCTTCTTATTCTTGGTCTCCCTCTTTCCTCCAGCTGTTCATTCTCATCTTTTTCTTGCTTAGGTTCTTTGCTATCTGTTTATACTTCATCTTCTTTTACAGACTCTATATTGTGACCCTGACAGCTTCACTGGAGAAACTTGCTTTTCTCTCTCTTCGCCTTGATTTTCCAAAATCTTCCACAGTGTCCCAGTCAATTTGGTTCTTTTGTTTCTGGGATTTAATTGTTAGGATATCTTATTTTATGGAGTTGCCTTCTCTTATCTCAGGGACCTCCACATGGCATCTTACTTTTGTGATAAAGTTTTGGGAGGAATTCCTTATAGCTTGAAACTTCTAGTTGAGGTAGCTTGCCGGTAGTAATCTCTGTTCACGTTGGTATTCTACTTTGCTCAGTACAGGGTATTCCAACATTTTTCTTATCCTTGGGAGCCTCATAGGGTCATCCTCTTTCCAACTCCTTCTACTCAAGGCTTGGCACTAGAGATTATGGAGTTTTGATTCTGGAGCCACTCCTCAATATTGATCCAATGGGAGCTCCACTCTCCTACAAACTTGTGTATTCCCTACAGAAGACCTTAAGGTCATGCAGGTGCTTTCTCTGTCTTTCCATACCCACCCTTTTTTTTTACCTCCTCAGATCCCTTGCATCTTTGGTGCCAGGAGAAGGCTGTATCTTCTCACAAGGTGATGAATGCCATGAACTTACGGGGATAGAAATTATTAAATAAAATTTAATTCACTCAAGGGAAAGCTATCAGGAAGATAACATTCCCTCGTGAACCATTTTTTTTATTTAATCCATGCAATATGTTCACTTTCATTAGTCATAACTAAAGAAATGCATTCCCAATTGGGAAAGCCAACTAAAAAGATGAAATTCCTCAGGAATGTGGGAATGTAATGTTTCAATCCCAGCCTTAGCTTATTCCTCACCTTGATGAATAGGCTAAATCAATATTCTTAGTATTTGTTCTTATACTTTGGATACATATTATTGATTACAAACTTCCTGTCTAACTTTTATTTGTTTTGAGAATTGAAACCTAATGTCAACATTATATTTATGGCAGTTATTACAAATCTGTTGCTTTATTTAAAAAAAAAAAAAGTTTTTAGCTTTTAAATATAAAACCCAAGGTTAGATATTTATATTTAATGTACAAGGAAAAGAAGGGAAGAATGTAGTAACTTGAATTTTTAAAAACTGCCTTAATAGCAGTTTCTAGTGAGTTACTCCTTTAGCTCTATTGGTAAAACACTAGCTTGTAGTAGAAGTGGTTCCAGGTTCAAAACCTGCCCATGAGAGCTAGATGACAAAAATTGGATTACTACAGTATCAAAAGGTAAATACCTTGTCCAAGAGTTATTAATCTGGACTATTAAAGTTAGTACAACACAGGCAGTTATCTACATGTGAAATACTTATAACCATAAATCATACACTAAAACTCTGAGTTCTTCAAATACACTAACCTGAATCAAAATGTTCTGCATTAACAGAAGAATTGTTCGACAATCTGTAGGGCATAAACCTAGATAATGGTTTCTATGAGAATCTTCATTGCTAGTTTCAGACTTCAGCTGGACGACACCATTTTGGAAGTGTTTCACAAAAAACCCAGTAAGCAGCTTAATGGATGATTTTTGCACTTTTAAATTAGACATCTGTATCCAGTTTAGGACTTGCTTCATGGTGACTTTCAAACTGTGGCTCCACTTTAAAAGAATTTACTCATTGAATACATAAATGCTCTGAAGTGATGTTTGTATTAAAACAAACATGTGCTGGTTCTAAAAAAATTCAAATTTACTAGAAAGACTACACAAGCTTCCAAGCATGGACATGTTTCGTTGTGTTTGATTTACTGTTAGTAACTGTATTCTATTGAACTGAATATCAAGCACATACAATATGTGTCTCCACTATAATCTGTATGTAAAAGAAATTGCTGAAAAATAATTAAAAAAAAGATTGATTATTACCAACATATAAAAGAAAGTATAATTGATCGAATTAGCTCTGTAATCTGATTGTTTAGCCAATGGTGATCTTGCTTTCTATGTCCATTTAAGAAACATTTATCTTTAATGTTATGAATTTGTAAGATAGATAATAATATTCACATTTAGATTTTACTAATTCTTACAGGTAATAAGTTAAGTTGTAAGTACATTAATGTTGATTTGCTGCTTGATATGCAAAACAATGGCACTTTACATGATACATCAGCTAAACGGTCAGATCGGAGACTCTTGAGGTACAGACATAGCCACCAATAACTAACTGCTGACCAATTATTATTTACCACCCACATCTGGTTAGCTATTATTAGTGTGTGGTTTGTGTGTAGTGGCTTGAACCTTGGACCATCTGATCTGCTGTTTGACATACTTGGCCACACACACTCCATATAAAAGAAATATAACATACTGGTGCTACCTTCTATGTTGATAAACTTTCAAATTACATGTTTACTGTCATCACCACCGTACTTAAAAGAAATATAACATACTGGTGCTACCTTCTATGTTGATAAACTTTCAAATTACATGTTTACTGTCATCACCACCGTACTTAAAAGAAATATAACATACTGGTGCTACCTTCTATGTTGATAAACTTTTAATTTACATGTTTACTGTCATCACCACCGTACTTAAAAGAAATATAACATACTGGTGCTACCTTCTATGTTGATAAACTTTTAATTTACATGTTTACTGTCATCACCACCGTACTTGCCTTTAGATTGTATTGAACTTGCAAAGTTGCCAAAGTGGCGGTTAAACCAAGAGCTTCTGTCAACACATCTTCATCGTCTGTGTAAAAGCAACTGTTTAAAAGAGTTAAAAACTGAAAGTTGGATGAAACCAAAGTCACACCTATAACAAAAAGAAAAAATCTAGTAAATCTACAGGTAAATTATATAGAAAGAGACAAATAGTACTTGAGTCTGGTTTATGTAAGAGACACACTTATCACCATACATTTGTTGCTTGAATGGTATCACATTATCTGATTATGTACATACAAAAAATAGTGTAAAAATATCTTTATAATGTAATCAAATACGTAAGTAATATAACCAGTTTTGAGAATTATTTTTAAAATGTAATTCTGACAATGTTACCTAATGTATTGAACTTTATTATACAGTACTTGATAAAAAATTTAATATTAGTTGCTACAATATTGTTTTTGTGGCATAAAAAAATGTAGGAACTAACATATTGATCACCAATATTTTAATGCAGAACACATTTGAACTAAAAAAGATAGAAATTATAGTCTGTAGGAGTTACAATAACTTGAACCAGTTATTAGAAGAAAATTCTGTATAGCTCATGTTGAAAAAGAAATGTATAGGAAATATCAAGATTTAAGGTAGTATTTCCAAAGCCCTCCAGTGACACAACAGTAAATGTGGAGGTTTATAATGTCAAAAAGTGGGTTTCAATATCCGTGGTTGGTACAGCACAGATACCTCATTGTGTAGCTTTGTACTGAACTACAAACAAATATAAGTATTTCTAATTTAATTACATAACAGTTAGTTGTATATAAATACCAAATAAGCTTAGCTTTGGAGTTTATCTGTCAAAATATCCTCACCATAGTGAAAAAATTATACAGCTTTTACTTCTGAAAGTTTAATCAACTAAATTATGCTGAACAATAAACACTGATGTAGCAATTAAATCCAGGCCTGGCATGGCCAGGTGGTTAGGGCGCTGTACTCGCAATCTGAGGGTTGCAGGTTCGAATCCCTATACCACCAAACATGCTCGCCCTTTCTGCCATGGGAGTATTATAAAGTGATGGTCAATCCCACTATTCATTGGTAAAAGAGTAGCCCAAGAGTCTGTGGTGGGTGATAACTAGCTGTCTTCCTTCTAATCTTTTACTCCTAAATCAGGGACAGCTAGTGCAGATAGTCCTCATGTACCTTCACACGAAATTAAAAAAAAATTAAATCAAATATTTTAAGTGTGCTGTTTACCTCCTCACATTTCAAATATAAATAAAGTATGTTCTTATTGAAAATTGGCATGATGAACCTATAGAACATCAGCATCAACTCTCTGATGTGATCATAGAAGCAGGAAGCACTGAATCTATTCCCATAGACAACAAGTTACTGCAGTCATTAAGGTCTTCTCATAGGCTCTACAAAGCAGATATGGAAGTCAAATGATCAAGAAAATAATACATTTGATGACCAGATTAAACACTGGAGGAAGCAAAAAAACTAGATCAATAAGACAGCCCAGATGGAAGAACAATCAATTAACCTGAAATACAACAATTCCAGAAAAAGACCTCTCTCTAGAGAGCTTTATTTTATTCATTGTTTAATTACATCTGACCATATTATGTTTTGCAAGCTTTTTTACTACATTATTTATTGAGTATAATGAAAAAAAGGAATATTAAAATGGTCAGCTTCAAGAGAACAGATGAGGCCTTACAAAAACATAACGTTTTGGGATAACATGGGACCTATTGGTCCATCTCGGCTGTTCCATCCTCT